GTAGATACACATACATATATGTATATATATATAGTTTTTTTTCAAAGACGGCAATACTTTTTGGCCATAGACCAAATGACGCGCTCTCAAGCCCTGCGCCGAGTTTTACTGGCAGAAGGAGGCGCTGCGCTGGACTTGACGGCAAAAGAAAAAAAAACCAAAACAACAAAAAAGAAACTTTAAAGTGAGCCGACTACAACAACAACAACAATTGCAGCAACAGCAAACTATTGGCAACAAAAATATTCTAGTCGACTTTTACGAGACGTCTTCTTCTTCATCTTCTCATATTTTCTGTTGAGTTTTGATTGATTTATCTACACGTCGAGTTACTTTGTAGACAAATTAAATTTTGGCATACTCCAAGCAGTTGAAGCTGTACGCGAGAGAGAGAGAGAGATAGAGCGACTTCTGCATCAGTGTGTGAATGAAAATTATCTACAGTTGAATGAGTTTTGCGGGCAGCGAGCAGCAAATTTTAATGTTCATTTCGAGTTTTTGCCATGGTGATAAGAAATTTGCTCGACTCGCTCGAGTCGAGTTCACATCATTTCCCTGAGTCGAGCCACATTTGCCGCGCGTATTTCGGGCGTAGCAAATAGATATTTTCTACATTTTAAGTAGACAGAGAAAGAGACAGAGGCAGAGACAGGAGCAGAGGCAGAGACAGGAGCAGAGGCAGAGGCAGGCAGCTAGTCCAGGAATGTGGTTACCAAAGAAATTCACTGCTGCTGCACAAATTCCAGTGCACGCGCAGAGCCGGAGTCAGGCAGAGGAATCCTTGGGTCAGGGGGAGGGCGGGGTTTGGGTAGCAACCGCTGTCGAGGGTTGCCGTAATTTTATGCACGAATTCGTAAAATGTTATTCAAATGGAAAATGTGATTTTTATCAATTTTGACAGGAATTTTTCGCAGAAAGCATAAAGAAAAACGTAGCACAAGGATGTGTCCTCCTCAAGTCTCATTTCTGTATGCGTTTGTGTGTGTGAGTGTGTGTAGCACTCGAAATGTTTAAGTTGGTCTAATTTATGAGGTCAGGCAATTGCCTAAAGACGTAGAAAATGACAAAACAAATCATGTATTTAAAGTCCTTAAATTATGAGAAATGTTTTACTTGAAGAAATATTGAAAAGATTTTGTTGGAAAATAGTTGCAGGAGTCTCGTCATTTGTTCACAGAAAGTCTAAGAAATCTTAATTGATATAACATCACAAGCTAATTAACAGTGTAATCAGATTTTGATGAAATGAATAACATAATAAATAATGAAAAAACAAAATAAATAAATACATAAAAGTATATATTTAAAAAATGTGAAATAATTATATAACAAAATAATTCTTCATTTCAATAAATACAAAGAATATTCATAATAAATAATAAATAACATCACAAGCTAATTAACAGTGTAATCAGATTTTGATGAAATGAATAACATAATAAATAATGAAAAAACAAAATAAATA